TTGTGTGTGCTGTGCGTGTGCGTCTGGTTGCGTCGCTGTGTGTCGTTGTGCAGTGGTGCTGCTGTGGTGTGTGCCGCAGTGTTGTTGTGGTGTGTGTGTGGTGTGCACGCCGTGTTGTGTGTGTGCACGCGCGCGCATGTGTGTGCGCCGTGGGTTCGGTGGTGGCGTGTCTGCTGTGCGTGGTGCGCTCGCGGCTGTGTGCGTGCGTGCGTGCGTGCGTGCGTGTGTGTTGTGTTGCTCACGCAAGGCACGTCACAGAATAGGCGTAGGATGAAGCAAGTGGACTGCTGAGTCGCATAGCAGCATGAAGTTTCTGTTACAGAGAATGCATTATAACGGCAGGGAGGCCGGCGCAGTGACAGAATAGGGTAGGAAAAGGTGTGACGGCTAATGTCGCATTAGCAGGCCTAAAGTTCTTGCATCATGCATACGTGAGCGCGAGCACGCACGATAACAGGTTTGGCTCGCAGCTCGGATCTAGCTTTGACTATCCAAGGTTGTTGCCCATGAAGGCTGGTAAAAACAGGCAACTCTGCTATCATCATATGGTTGCCTGTAGCTGTAAAGGTGGCAACGTTTGAACTTTTTCGATTCTCATCGCCTTGCTCTTGGTTTCGTTGTAGAGACTTGAAAGCTAGACAACATATTACTGGACACAGAGGGACACTGCAAAATTGCTGACTTTGGATGTGCAAGGAAGGCATTCTAGATGACCAACTGACCACCACCTTCTGTGGTACGCCCGACTAACATTGCACTGAGGTGAGTGTTCAGTCTATATGTTTCGTTTATAGCTTCTTGACCGTCTATTACAGGTATGCCTGTTATACTTTGGGTGTCTGTCACAGTCTAAGCCTACTATAGTTTCTAGCTATCTGTTGCAGCTTACTTCTGCTATAGTTTCTGGCTGTCTGTTGCAGTATAAGCATACTATAGTTTCTTGTTGCCTATTACAGCTTAGCTCTGCTATAGTTTCTGGCTGTCTGTTTGCAGTATAAGCATACTATCGTTTCTTGTTGCCTATTACAGCTTATTTCTGCTATAGTTTCTGACTGTCTGTTACAGTATAAGCATACTATAGTTTTCTTGTTGTCTATTACAGCTTACTTCTGCCTATAATTTCTGGCTGTCTGTTGCAGTATAAGCATACTATAGTTTCTTGTTGTCGTATTACAGCTTATTCTCTGCTATAGTTTCTGGCTGTCTGTTGCAGTATAAGCATACTATAGTTCTTGTTTGTCTATTACAGCTTACTTCTGCCTATAGTTTTGCGCTTGTCTGTTACAACGTACTAATGTAGTTTCTGCTGGTGCATCGTGGTGTACACGTGCCTTGGTTTCTGGCTGTCTATTACAGATTCTTCAGGAGCTTGGAGTATGGGCCGTCTGTTGACTGTGGGCGGCTAGGTGTACTCATGTATGAGATGATGGCTGGCCAGGCCTCCGTTCGAGGCTGATAACGAGGATGACCTGTTTGAGTCAATACTCCATGACGACGTTCTCTACCCTGTCTGGCTCAGCAAGGAAGCCGTGTCAATACTAAAAGGGGTAAGCAGTGCGTTCTGGAGGGTCGTCTGCTTGCTGTCATATATACTATGCTGCTACGAGGAAACTGTTTCTAGGCTGAAAGGGATGAGTCCAGACCTGAAGCATTTCTGATTTTGGACGTGCTTTGAGCTTGAGAATCTCGACTGCGTGCTGATATTGTGATTGTCGTCACGATGCCTCGCTTCCTTCTTTTCTTCCTTATAGTCTTCTCGTGGTTTACTCTACTAATAAGCAATCGCCTGCTTCGTCCGCAGTTCATGACAAAGAATCCAGTGAGGCGGCTGGGTTGTGTTGAGCAATACGGGGGAGAGGAAGCCATCAAGCATCATCCATTCTTCCGGGAGATGAACTGGGAGGCCCTAGAACACCGAAGAGTTAAACCTCCTTTCACATTCTTTATTTTCCATTTCCTCCCCTTCATCATCTTCTCCTTCTGGGATTTGTGTCCCAGTAGAGTGTCACTTTAGAGAGAGATGGAAGGACAGAGAGAGAGAGAGAGATGGAAGGACAGAGAGAGAGAGAGAGAGAGAGAGAAAGTGTGAGATAGATAGAATGAGAAGGAAGTGAAGGAGGATGAGTGGGAGGAGGAGGAGAAGGAGAGTGAGAAGTGGAAAAGAGGTGGAGGCATAGAGAAAGTGACATAGACATGAAGAGGAGAATAGGGCAAGCTAATTATCTATGTATATGATGTACAACAAGTCACCTCTCTGCAAAACTGTTACGTGGCTGCAGTCTCGACTTATTATATTCATATCTTTTTCGCCACTTGTTTGTGCAGAAAACAAAGAAGGACGTTGGCAACTTTGACGCTGACTTTACCAAAGAGGAACCTGTACTGACTCCGATCGATCCGGCGATCATCAAGGCCATCAACCAGGAAGAATTCAAGGGCTTCACTTATGTCAACTCGGCATTTGTGAACAGCCTCAATATGAGCTCTTGAGAGTGAGGAGCCTGACTAGATCCTTTCCCCCCCTCCAACCCTAACGCCCAATTCACCCTGCTTGCACACAGGCTGCATGTCAGCAAGCAGCATAAGGCACACACAGAGACTCGCATATGCACTTGTACACACACACAGGCACACGCACACCCAAACACACAAACCATGCATGCACACACCTGGCTATGGGTTGACAGACTATTGAAACAAATGGCATGTCTGATTGACGATGATGATATATGAATCTCTGGCATCATCATCATCATGGCAGTTGTAATATGATTGTACGCATGTATAGTCGGAAGTCACACGAAGTATACGTCATCAGCATTGCCAACAAACATTGGGTTTCTGTCAATCAATTTGCTTTCTGTGGCTGTAGCTTGTCACCATGAGAGTTTTTCTCGGGTGGCTGGGTTTTTGCGCTTCATTCGCTGCACCGTGTTGTGTGACTGCAATGGCAGGCAAGGGCAAACAGGGAGGTGAATGGTGTCCTACAAGACAATGGGTGCTGTAAAGAATATCGCCGTACCAGCGAGAATGCTTTTCGGAGATGCCCTAAATACCTCACAAAAAAGGGTATCCTGCAGGAAAGCAGTGCACTGCAAGGTAGGGTAACCTGAAAATGTAAGGAAGGGTGACAGGTTCAAGTGAGGAACCCGTGAGAGAAAGGGCTTGCTGTGTGAGAGAGTATGACTGTAGGTGAAGAGAGTGCTCGCCAAGTCTCGGCAGGCAGCCTGTGAGGTGAGAACCTGTCTCTGGGTCTCCGAGGCTCAGAGTCTAGTAGGCATGTGGAGCCTCTCTTCGTGGCATGCGTGTGCGGATGTGTTCTTACCCCCATTACCAGCCTCACAGGCAGAGGGTGGCCGGGGTGTGGGTATAGACAATTTGTTATACAGTAAGTACAGTTGTATGCAGTAAAATCCTAGAGTCTACTATCCCTTTAACAATGCCATCAGCACATGAATAGTGATGTAGGTAGTGATGTCACTTGTGATAGCATTGATAAGTCTCCTGCCTGTAACGTGATGGTTACTAGATGTAATTATTTGTATAACATGCACGATTAGGAATCTGGTATGGTTTGTTGATTTTGTTTTTACCATGAACATATGTATACTATATAAATACATAAATATATATATTTATTTATTTATTTATTAATTAATTTATAGTATACATATTTTCATGGGGTTTCTACCTTAATATGACATCATATGGCATGATGTGTCATGTCATGACGTACTATACTATAACAGCTGAAGGTTGACTAGCGTTAACTGCACCTATGCATCATCTACTTGAGCCATCCCAATAAGAGCTGCTTACATGCACCTATCAGTCAATGTGTTTAACAATATCTAACAAAACTCACATAATGATGTGGATTTAAGCTGTACAGTACTTAAAATATCACTGATCCAGATTTAAGCATTATATTTAGATGAAATTACGTTTATTCATAGTACGCACTCATTATCACTATTCAATATTAATAGAAAATGAATCAGAATTGAGTTTTAAAAGATTGTCACAGCATGCTATGCATTGTGCTGGTGTTATTACGTAAATTATGCTGTTTTGGTTTGTACTGGCACAGTATATATGACACTGTTACCAAGAATTAATGCCAGACAATAGCACATTAGTCATATTCAGAATCACTTCTGGTTTTATTTTATCATTAATAAAGAGGAGCAGACAAAATTTGCATTATAATTAAAGAATAGAATGCCTGTGAATAATGGTAAAGGCTCAATTAGTGTTATTCTTAAAAAATTTATTTTACGTCCAGGACCCACCAAAGGGAAAAAGTACAAATATAAAATCCGTTGTTTATCTCAAATATACACACCACAGTTATATTATGGGAATGTATGGGAATATGTTATAGGGCTATATTATCCTTCACGTAATTTTTATTAAATCTAGAAAAGAAATCGAGCAAACTTTTTTATTTTCATCTCACTGCAGCCATGACCCAACACTCTTGGTAATTTGACTCAGTCATGTAGGAAATTATTGCCTGGTCTAGCAGTACCAATTACAAACAATACGATCACGAAACGTGGGCATTGCATGTAGATATTCGATAAGTTGCGATTCGTGGTTCGTTGGCTAGAGATTCTGTGAGTGATAAAGTGACACGGGCCATTAACATGTGGTGACAGCCGTAACCCACTGCTGACAGTGGATGTATAGCCGCTGAGGTTAAACAAAAATACTAGGAAATCTAGTTCCTTAAATGTAGCAGCTAAGGATCTCCTTGCAAACCTGACTAACTGCTGAAATAGCTAAAGAAACTGAAGTCCTTGAGATAACACCCCAAAAAATTATAAGTAGTAGAATATAAAATATATACTAAAGACATTGGAGCAAACCCACAGAGGTCCGTGCAGACGGCGCAAGCCCGTGCAGTCTCTCGAAATATAGAGGGCGCTGGCGGCACTCGGGAGCCGTGCACGTGTGCATGTGTGCGCGTCTCGGCCAACAGACGTGTATCTTCACAGACATGGCACGCATGGGCATCAGCAGTCCCTCACGCAGTCCAACCACGCCCTCACGCAGCGACCGCATCGGACTCGACCACTTCACCTTCATCAAAGTTCTCGGCAAGGGTAGCTTCGGCAAGGTAAGTGCTGCCCCCTGCAGGAGCAGAGGAGTGTGACACAAGTAGGGTGTTGAGCGCTGTATGGATGAGCGCACGCTTGTATAGACGGGCGTGCGTAAAGAGTGCATATACATTGCATTTAATTGTGTAGGATCGCAAACATGCATGCATGCGTATGCATGTGCATACATGTATGTATACATAGATATTCTTACATATATACTTGCATACATTTAATTGATGATTTCGAACAGTCTTCCCGATTGTTCTAGTATTTTTCCAATCGTTAAAATACTTACTGGTATTGCTTGTGTAACAGCAAGCATCTACAGTAAGGCTAACATGTTTTAGAACACTCGTACAACGTTACTTTCACCAAAATATGCGATAATTGAAACGTCCTTATTCACTTCTTGTTGACGTGGTTTAATGATGATGCCACTTCTTTCTCGCGAGACCTTGTGCCTATACGTTGTTAATAGTAACTTTAACTTTAATAGTATCATTAAGTAATAGAGATGTTGTACTAGTCTAGAAACTCTACGTCACCCAGTGAGATGCACCTTTGCCTGGTGTTTGCCGATTTCCACGGAATTTTCGTGACAAAAGAATGTGGCTGCATTATTTGCTATTTTATATGAAATAACAGCACAAGCGCTTAGTATATTTTATACACGGAGTAGTCAGTAATGTTTGCTATTAGGAGAGACTATATTTTGTTATATTTGTCCAGATTCTGCATTTAGTTAAGAAATGAATCCTTTAAAACGTGCGTGCGTATGCACATACGTGCATATATTATGTGTTTGTATGTGCGAATGTTGCGTACGCTTGTGTAGCGATGCTGTCGTTATTGCGTATACAGGTGATGCTAGCAGAGAGGAAGGGAACGGACGAGATCTATGCCGTAAAAGTCTTAAAGAAGGACGTGATTCTCCAGGACGATGATGTCGACTGCACAATGACAGAGAAGAGGGTGCTGGCGCTGTCAGCCAAGCATCCATTCCTCACAGCACTTCACTCTGCCTTCCAGACTAGGGTACGTGCATGCATTGCAGGCTATTCAGGTCTGCTACATGGCATAAAGCAAGCATCGTCAGACCCTAATGCTACCTATACAATGGAGGTGCATTGAGTAAAGGCTTATTCCCCATTGCCTCAGGACCAGGCATTGTACAGATGTAAAGTTTTTTTTACATAAATCCATAAAGCATTGTACGCTATGTGGACACACTCGGTTCATTTTGTTAATTTAAGTTTTTCATGTGTGTTATATAAAAAAAACCATTACATTATTTGGTGTAAAATAATGTTACATTGTCTCAGGGTTGACTTGTTAATTATTATTTACATATTTAATCACCTATTTCAAACAAAGGGTTACGAAAATGGCAAACAATGGGGCAGTGGATGATAAAGGTTTCCCATGTGGTAAAACTGATCTTAAAGTTATTATTCAACAATTTACAAGATTAATGTCTTTAAAAAGGTTATTTTTTTTACTCAAAGAAAGTCTTGGAATAAAGGGTATTATCATGAAACAGCCTAGAAAGGCATTGTGCAATGCAGAATATTATCCTACGCATCATGACAATGCAGTATCAACAGTAACGTCTAATGCCGCAGTGACTCTGGCAATAAAGCACAAGCCGTCTGGCTGCCTGTGTGTCATGACTTTAGAACAGTGGTTCTTAACCTTTTTTTAGTCATGGACCCTTTTGAGAATCTGGTAAAAGCTACGGACCCCTCCCCAGAAAAATGCACATAACCACTTAAACACACAATTTTGCATACAATGGGGTTCACGGACCCCCTGAAGCCCATCCACAGACCCCCAAAGTGGTACGTGGACCACAGGTTAAGAACCCCTGCCTGAGAGAAGGGAAGAATAGAAGTTACATGGTGTAACGGCTTTCTGTATCCGTCTGCTGATGTTGCTAAAGTACCAAGATACGGCGAGGTTCAGGGCCGCAGTGCTGTCATACAGTGCTGCCAAACGAGGGCCCGCCATGTCTGGTGCTCATGCAGGCTTCGCCACCTGCATGTGGCGCTGCGGGCGCCTGCAGGTGGTGCCGCGTGCATGATCTGTGATCGTCTGCATGTTGTTGTTGTTCTTCCCCGCAGGATCGTCTCTTCTTCATCATGGAGTACGTCAACGGCGGAGACCTCATGTTCCAGATCCAGCGCTCGCGCAAGTTTGACGAGCCGCGCGCACGGTTCTACGCCGCCGAGGTGACGTTAGCTCTGCAGTTCCTGCACAGACACGGCATTATATACAGGTGCGTGCGCAATGTTGTGTGTGCGTGTGCGTGTGCGTGCGTGCGTGCGTGCGTGTGTGTGTGCACGTGCGTGGTTGTGTGTGCGCACGTGTGTGTGTGTGTGTGTGTGTGCACGCGTGGTTGTGTGTGTGCACGCGCGCGCATGTGTGTGCGCGCGTGTGTGTGTGTGTGTGTGGGTGCGTGCGTGCGTGCGTGCGTGCGTGCGTGCGTGCGTGCGTGTGTGTGTGTTCTCAGCAAGGCACGGTCACAGAATAGGGTAGGAGAAGCAGTGACTGCTGAGGTCGCATTAGCAGCATGAAGTTTCTGTACAGAGAATGCATTATACGCAGGTGCAAGGCGCAGTGACAGAATAGGGTAGGAAAAGGTGGTGACGGCTAATGTCGCATTAGCAGGCCTAAAGTTCTTGCATCATGCATACGTGAGCGCGAGCACGCACGATAACACGGTTTGGCTCGCAGCTCGGATCTAGCTTTGACTATCCAAGGTTGTTGCCCATGAAAGGCCGGTAAAAACAGGCAACTCTGCTATCATCATATGGTTGCCTGTAGCTGTAAAGGTGGCAACGTTTGAACTTTTTCCGATTCTCATCGCCTTGCTCTTGGTTTCGTTGTAGAGACTTGAAGCTAGACAACATATTACTGGACACAGAGGGACACTGCAAAATTGCTGACTTTGGCATGTGCAAGGAAGGCATTCTAGATGACCAACTGACCACCACCTTCTGTGGTACGCCCGACTACATTGCACCTGAGGTGAGTGTTCAGTCTATATGTTCGTTTATAGCTTCTTGACCGTCTATTACAGGTATGCCTGTTATACTTTGGGTGTCTGTCACAGTCTAAGCCTACTATAGTTTCTAGCTATCTGTTGCAGCTTACTTCTGCTATAGTTTCTGGCTGTCTGTTGCAGTATAAGCATACTATAGTTTCTTGTTGCCTATTACAGCTTAGCTCTGCTATAGTTTCTGGCTGTCTGTTGCAGTATAAGCATACTATCGTTTCTTGTTGCCTATTACAGCTTATTTCTGCTATAGTTTCTGACTGTCTGTTACAGTATAAGCATACTATAGTTTCTTGTTGTCTATTACAGCTTACTTCTGCTATAATTTCTGGCTGTCTGTTGCAGTATAAGCATACTATAGTTTCTTGTTGTCTATTACAGCTTACTTCTGCTATAGTTTCTGGCTGTCTGTTGCAGTATAAGCATACTATAGTTTCTTGTTGTCTATTACAGCTTACTTCTGCTATAGTTTCTGGCTGTCTGTTACAACGTACTAATGTAGTTTCTGCTGGTGCATCGTGGTGTACACGTGCCTTGGTTTCTGGCTGTCTATTACAGATTCTTCAGGAGCTGGAGTATGGGCCGTCTGTTGACTGGTGGGCGCTAGGTGTACTCATGTATGAGATGATGGCTGGCCAGCCTCCGTTCGAGGCTGATAACGAGGATGACCTGTTTGAGTCAATACTCCATGACGACGTTCTCTACCCTGTCTGGCTCAGCAAGGAAGCCGTGTCAATACTAAAAGGGGTAAGCAGTGCGTCTGGAGGGTCGTCTGCTTGCTGTCATATACTATGCTGCTACGAGGAAACTGTTTCTAGGCTGAAAGGGATGAGTCCAGACCTGAAGCATTTCTGATTTTGGACGTGCTTTGAGCTTGAGAATCTCCGACTGACGTGCTGATATGTGATTGTCGTCACGATGCCTCGCTTCCTTCTTTTCTTCCTTATAGTCTTCTCGTGGTTTACTCTACTAATAAGCAATCGCCTGCTTCGTCCGCAGTTCATGACAAAGAATCCAGTGAGGCGGCTGGGTTGTGTTGAGGCATACGGGGGAGAGGAAGCCATCAAGCATCATCCATTCTTCCGGGAGATGAACTGGGAGGCCCTAGAACACCGAAGAGTTAAACCTCCTTTCAAGCCTAAAATTGTATGTAATAATCAAGACGTGAGAGTGAGTGCAAGATAGAGAGCAGGCAGGAAAGAAGAGAGAGAGAGATAGAAGGACAGAGAGAGAGAGAGAGAGAGAGAGAGAGAGAGAGAGAGAGAGAGAGAGACGAGAGAGAGAGAGAGAGAGAGAGAGAGAGAGAGAGAGAGAGAGAGAGAGAGAGTAGAGAGTAGAGTAGTAGAGAGAGAGAGAGAGAGAGAGGAGGAGGAGAGAGAGAGAGAGAGAGAGAGAGAGAGAGAGAGAGAGAGAGAGAGAGAGAGAGAGAGAGAGATGGAAGGACAGAGAGAGAGAGAGAGATGGAAGGAC